GTCAGCAAAATCCATCTGGGAGCTCAGCTGTCACAGTGGGACCCCCTACACCTTACCAGCTCTAGCCCAGCTTCAGGACCCCAAAACCCCCAAACAGCCTCTGAGAAGCTTCCATTCTGTAAATGCTTGATGAGTGTGATTACTTTTTCAGTGGAGAAAGAAAGCATATTCTGGTTGTGTTTTTGAAGCAGCTGCTAAAACACCTACCAAACTGGTACTAGACACTGGCACCCGAAGTCAGACGCTGCGGGCGGTCGGCAAACCTGTGATCTGCAGGTCACGGCCTCTCCTTTCCCCTCAACAAGAGCTCATTCCTGGGTCTGAGGAGGAGCCCAGCTGTGCCCTTTAACAAGTACCTCCTGATCATCCTGTGGCACGTGGTTAGCCATGTGCTTGGCATGTTAGTAAAAAGAAGATATGAAAATGAAAAACTCCTCAGTTCCTTTGAGAGGCAGTACACTGTGGAGATTAAGAGTTTCAACTGTGGAGCCAGATGTTCTGGGTTCGAATCCCAGGGCTGCCACAGCGGCTCCTAATCTTGGGTAGTTTGCTCCCCTGTAAACTGGGCTATCCTAGTGCCTCCCTCCTGGGGCGGTCGTGACGGCTCAGTGAGCTGACACACAAAATACTGGATTTGGGCCTGGCTCAGAGTTACCACTCAATACAGTTTAAGTTCTGTTATTTGTTCTCGTTGCTTCTATTTGGCTCCCAATATGTTGTTGGTGATCCTATAGAAAGAACACGTTGGTGAAATCCAGACCATCCCGTAAGGCAATATGGAATAGACGAGACAGTACGAAGAACATTGTGTAGACGCCAAAACCGGGCAGGGCTGCATGTGAACTTCACTCCCACCCCCTGGAAGCTGTATTATCTTAACCCTCTGTTTCCTTATCTACAAAACGGAGTATGAATACTTCCTATAGTACGGAGCTGTGGAGTAGAGATAACGCATGTAAAAGAGGAACATACTCCTAACATATACGCACTCAATGGATGTTACTGGTTATTAGTTTTATTATATTTTGTAATCTGGGCATGTTTGCATGGGTTGTCTACAAATATCCAATTGCTTATATAACCTCTAGAGTGTCTTTTTAGGCTTTTTGATAGGGAAAAGACTAAATGTAGTTAGTATTAATTAATTTGTTTTAACTGGTTAATTATTGATTAGTACAAATTAGCTTAAAACACAGATTAGTAAGTTATATATATATGATAAAGACATATCACAAAGATAATAGATAGATAGAGAGATGATAGATAGATAGATAGATAGAGAGATAGAGAGATAGATTGATTCAGTAATCCAGGCTTAGGAGGAAAGGGGAGAAGATGGGAATACAGGGGAGGTTTTTCTAGGAAAGGGGTTTCTCGTCCATGCCGAATTTTTAAGCTGATAAAAAATTAGCCAGGATACAACGGGGGGGGGGGGGGGGAGCAGAAGGGGCGGGAGAGGCCTTAAGAGAGCTGCGTGTTGCTTCACACTTGTTGGAATGTGTATCTGGGTGGGCTGGGGTTGGGGTTACTGGGAAGAGACCAATGAATCCCAAGTGATAAACTGAAGCCAGACCCGGGCCTGATAGAGCGTGGTAAGGACTTGGAATTTTATCCTGAGGGCAACAGGGAGCCACTGATGGTTACCTTTGAAAGCAGGGGAGAGAGAAGATGGGGTGCTCCTTGGAGAAAGTATGGCACTGCCTTTGTGGAGAAGGAGCTGGAGGGGCCAGAAGAGGGCAGGAGCCCAGGAAAGGGGCAGTCACAGACACCCTGTGCTGGGGGCCTACGTCCTACATGAAGGCAGGCGGGCGGCCCTGCAGGTCTGATTCTGGTGGTGGAAAATCAGTATTGCCTGAGCCTGATTCTCCAGTATCTACACCTCCCCCTGAAGTTAGATCCTTTTGGAAGTTGCATGAAGTCTCCTGGGGCTCTGAGTGCCATTAAACGCCTGCTCAGCATACGAAACGGAATGGAATCCAGCCTCCAGCCAGCCAGTAAATGAGTATAACTCATGCTGACTTCCAGCTAATGTGCAGTCTTGGAAGTAGCATTAAGTCTGGGAAGTCACTTGGGTGCCATTTGGAGTACTGAGCTGTGATTTACTTGGTCCTACTCAGTGGCCTGTATGTGCCAATATAGCTTCCATGGTCTTTTCTACTTTGTTCCAGGGAATAATAACTTATGGAATGAAAACATCCATTTTTAAAATATATTTTCTATATCTTATTCATTTTCTTGGTGGATAGGGATTATTGAGGTCAGTATTTATTGTTCAAAAATGTGTCATATTAATGAAAATAGCAAGTTGTAACCTGAAATTGTATAGTTTAAATGAAAGTACAAGTCATAACTCAAGGTAATTTTTTCTATCAAATATATAAAATAGTTAATTTTTTTAAAGCATTGATAATCACACTCTTATCCCCCCAAAAAAATGTTTTACAAGGAATTTAGAAAATGTTTATTATAATTTTCTTTTATTTATAAATAATATCAATATTAATTGTTCACTGATATGCAAATACATAAAGAGTGAGTCATTTGCCCATGAGGTCCCATGTTTATAAAAACAAAACTGAAGTTATCCTGATTAAGTCCTGTGAGGTCCAAGACTATGTCTTAGTCATCTTTTTATCCCCATGTAATTATCACCATGAGCCCAGTGTTTAATATGATTAAGAAGTATGAGATTGCCGCATGAAAATGAACATTCATAGGGGATCCTGCCTCTCAGGGCCCCGCTGCTCCTGGTGGAATGAGGACTGGCCCTGTGAGAGCTTGCTGCGTTTCTGTGATGGCTGTTCTGGGAATTTTGAACAGTTGGTATTCCTGAAAGATACAAATGAAAAACAAAACAAAACACCCTCAACTATGAGTCTCTGTGATAACTAAATTTAAAATAATCTTAGGAACTATTTTCCTTTCTTAATGAAAATAACTAATCCTTGGACTGAGTTTTCAAAGTTCAGAGATGCTTGATAAGTAAGTAGGAAAAGAATTTTAGATATGCAGAGAAATTAAGTCATGTTTATCTAGTTTGGGAAAGTAAAAGGAGAGAAAAGATACATAAATACAGTGGAGAATGTTAGAAATGTTTGCTGGAATAAACAATAACAGTCCCTAACATTTGTTGATACTGTAGATCGTTGACTGTGCTTTCCAAAACATTACCTCATATGATCTGGTTAAGAAACCCTACGAAGGGGAGTTTTTGCCAATAAGGAAATTATATCTTAGAGTGATTAGGTGATTTGTCCAAAGTCCAAATAGCTCATAAGTGCTCAACTGGAAACTTTGTTTTTTGACTCTTAAGTCAGAACTTAAATGTTCAGTAGCAAGTAAATAACTGCAATATATTAGCCACCACATGATACCTGGAGGCACCTGTGAGGAGCACGTTCACCTTGAAGACTTCCTTGTTGAGCAGCCAGTACATGTATTATCTATATCATCATTTCTCATAAAACTTTTATTTTAAAAAATGATTTTTATATTGACAGAAGCAACACAAGTTCTGAGTAGAAAATTGCAAAATGTACATTGGCTTTATGGGTGTTATGTGAACAATGATTGTACCTCTTCATAGATAACATTTCTGAGATTTTTGTGGTTTTTAAAAAATGTCTTATGCTTTTAGACACAGACAACAGTATGATGGTTACCAGAGGGAGGGGGAGTGAGGGGGTAGGTAGTAAAGGGTAAAGGGGGTCAAATATATAATGGAAGAAGATTTGACTTTGGGACATGGGGCACACTATGCAATGTATGGATCATATAACCAATATAGTCTTATTAACCAATAAATTTAATGAAAAGGAAAGAAAAAATGTGTTATGCTTTTAAAAATATTTTCAATGTAATCATCAAAAATATTTTTGTTGTTTTAGTGTTTACTTTAGCAAAAATAGTAAGAAAGTTCCCCCCACATCATTGAATGTCATTATAACATTGTTTAAACAGCTTCATAGTGTCCTGTTTTCTGATTAACACCTGGGACAAACTTGGGGATACTTTGTATGTTCTGTTATTAGGAGCAACACTGAAGAATGTCTTTGCTAACTCTCTCTGCATAAATCCATATTTGTTTCTTAGAGTAAATGTCTGGCAATAAAATTGCTGGGTTAAATGTTATATAAAATTCCTTAATCATTGACCAAATAGTCCAACAGAAAGGTTATGCCTATTTAAATTCCAATTTGCATTGTATAAATGTCCTCTTTTATAAATTGGCCAATTTGTCTTTTCAAAAATTGTTGCCAATATGACCAACAAAAGTAGTATGCTGTTGCTTTGATAGTTTAGGAAGAAGATAGTAAGTAAAGTGAGAGACAGAACTAAGATTTGCTCTCAGGTTTGTATCCTTACAGCCCCTGCTGTTTACTGTTGAACGCGTGTAGGCATTCAATACACGGAACATACATGGAACGTTACTTGGACAGCACATGTAATGATAAAGCACTGGTCTTGGTCCTCTCTGATCTTTGTTTTATCAAGTGTGTCAAGTGCTACCATTCATTCTTCTGTGAGGTGAAACAATCAACTTTTTCTATGGGCCATTGCGATAAGTACAAGCACTTTAAGTTCTTGGAAGTAGCAACATAGTTTTTGAGCTCATAAGAACTCTAAGATCATCTAATCTTGTCCCATCGTTACTAAGCATAGTTAATGTAAAGATGTGAAAAATCCTGTTGTGTTTTTTCTAATTGAAATGAAAAGCTCAGTGTCTAATACTTTTGCACAAATGTGTAATTTCATCTATAGTGTTTATATGCATTATTCATGTCATCACAAATTTAAACTTCTTTGTAATGTAGCAAAACTAAAATTGTCAACCATTTTAAGAAAATGGAAGTTCAGCCATGGCCATGGATTCTGGTTTTGAAGCAAAAGCAGATACATTTGCAATGAACTTCAACTCTGCTTTGTCTACGTAATAATTTCCTATGGGCACATTATTCCATGAAGCGTAGTCAACCGTATTTCTTTCCATTTTGTTTTAGGTAGCAGTTTTACGACGTCATCAGGATTATATACAGGAAATAATTCACTCACAAATTCCTCTGGATTTAACAGTTCACAGCAGGTAATTTTAAAAGCCAATTTAACTTCTGAAATTTAAAAAATGCGGCAGATTTTCTTATATGGAAAAAAAAGTCTGTTTATAATACACTATACGTGAGAGCTTTCCTAAGCCCTTTAATAGTTTTTATTTCTTTTAAAATCTCTGTAGTAGTCTTACATGGTGAGTATTTTGGTTTGGGGGTTGGTTTAATTTTACCTAGTAATGCACCACGGCATAAAGGAAATACAAAAAGTGTATCTGAACTTACATAAAACTTGTTTGCAAGTCTGAGTACTTCGTCAACTGGTGCTTGTAAATCCGAAAACACAAATCTAAGTGCAGCTCTACTTTGGAATGTAAGAAATAAACAGCCGTGTTCTGACGGATGATTTTGCATGGTTCTATTTGGTAGGACTATCCATCTTATCCCAATTTCGGCCAGGGTCAGTATGCACAGTATTATAACAGCTCACCGTACCCAGCACATTATATGACTAGCAGCAATACCAGCCCAACCACACCCTCTACAAATGCCACCTACCAGCTTCAAGAACCACCATCTGGCATCACCAGCCAAGCAGTTACAGATCCCGCAGCAGGTAATTATGCGCGTTTTATTGGCTCTGCAGGCTATATTTCTGGTGGTTTAAATGCATTTTTCTGTAGTCATATATTCATGCGGTGGTTGTATGGTTTGGCAAATTTTGGCAGGCTTGCGTATAAATCAAACAGCATAATTGTGGCATTGACTTTATGCTATATACTACCATTTTTAAACAAATAAAAATAAAGTAGGTAAACTTCAAAAACACATGCAATAGAGATTATTTAATCACAAACATACAATTTTCAAGATATATATAGATTTTTAGATGCATGTTTATAAACATTTAGCTATAATTCTTACCTATAATTATAATTTGCTGACACAGCGAATATGAAAATAAATGACATCGCCTTAAATTTAATGTTTATCATGATTAAATATTTAATGTTTCTCAAAAAATCAAACTGCATCAAAGGGTCGGTGATGGAAAACGCTGATTCCCAGGCCAAGCCTTTGCCACTCACGCCTGCTGTGAAATTCCTAGCAATGTCTAAGCGAGGGCATTTTCCATACTTCTGCACAGCCTTTGATGGGCCCTCTCCTTCCCTGACGTTTTCCTGCTATGATTTTGATACTTCTTCATCCTCATCTTAACATTTTTTAAACGTGATTTTTCTTTTCAAGAGTCAGTTTTCTTCCTTTGCCTTTTATTCCCGGAGCCAAAGTCCACCTCTTTGCTCTAAATCAGGTCAAAATGGTGTTAAATTGAAAGACTCACTTCTGGGACATTTAGATCAGAGGGTTAATTCTGGGTGGTTATTCTAATCATTAAAAAAAAAGTTTTAGGTAACAGATGCTAAGTTAAATTTTAACTATAGTATTCTGTAATTATTAGCTGGTGACCCCCCCCCAAAAAAAATCTTTAAGATTTGTGTTCTGCCTTTTCTCTTAAAGGCATGCAAACACTCTTTTATTCCGTAGTAGGAAGTTGACTGTTTTATTCCGTAGTAGGAAGTTGCATCATTCCCAAACTTGTGTCCCAAACACCTGCACATACTCATCTCTGCCTCACATCCCAACTGGAAACATTTTTATCTTTGATCATTACTTTCCATTTATCCTTTATTTGTGTAATCTAGCTTGATATTCATCACTCATGTCACATTTGTAAATAGGGTTTTCATAGAACCTAGTATATGTCTCTCCTGTCTTTTAATGAGATTCCATATCTATATAATATCACTCTAGATAAACTTTGTTATAGAAGGTATTGAATTGATTGGAGAAATCATGGTAGAATTCTCCTCCCTACGTTCATAAATGTCATGAGGAAAGATAATGGCTTGTCCCAACTTCAGGGAGCTCTTTGTTTTCACGTGAACTCTCTGGGTCAGGCAAGATCTTGAGGACTAAAAGGGGTTTCGGCATCTTGAGATGAAGATAGTGATGTGACTGAAAATTAGAAAAACTCTTGAGGGTCTGTGCAATAACAGAATGAGAAAAGGAGAGAGCAGAATAATACTCAATCCATGGCATTTCGGTCGTGAAGAGTATAGTATAAAACTAGCTGGTGGAGACTTGATTATGTTTTTAAAATTGAAGTAGATTCGTTTTTAGAAAAAACAATTTAGTCATCTCATAAAAGTTTGTCTCTGAAATTTGGCATTGTTTTAAGTGAATTTTATTTATAAAAGGGATGCCATGGAGGAAGAGTAGGGATGACTCGGCACAAAACCATGTCACTGGGGAAACAATGCAAAATTATAATTTTCTAAAGGTCTATATGATTTTAAGATGGAATGATTTATTTTAGATTGTTATTTGAACGAACGCTTTAGTGTTTTAGGTGCTTATTTCAGTTTCAGTATCTTTATGGCTGTAGAATAGGGAAGAATTGAACTGGGGAGAAAATAGTATTTTTCTGCTTTCTTGTGTTCGCCACTTCCCACTGAAATGAATGTGTAGGGCTGAGCCGTTCTTGTGTTGTGTGGTTAGAAGTGAAAAGTTAAGTGAGTTTCCACATTGAAAACTAAATGTGGATTACTTTTAAAAATTCAAGGAATATTTAGTCTGGGTTTTGTGTTTTTTTTTTAACATTTGCGATAAGACTGTGAATTCAGCCTCAGTTTATTGCCACAAACCTTCTTTCTTACTAATCGTATATAAAATTGTAGACTTGTCCTTCTTGATTTAAAGGAAGTTTTCTTGGTAAAGTACATTCATTTATTAAAGTAAAGAATTATAAGGAATTATTTATTAAATGTTACCTAATGTCTTTCTTTTAAGATGGAGATAAAAAAAAATAGTTGAAGTAATGTTTATTTTTGTTGAAATAACTTCATTTTTTTTTTCTTTTATTTTTAATCAGTCTAATGGCTTTAAAGTCAGTATTTTCAATGCTAGAAAGTTAGACCTAGTCATTATCTGATCTTACGGGTGACCAGGATGCTGCCTTTAGCTTCATGGAATTGTGCCCTACGGATGAATACATTTTATGGTATCTGTTATTGTATTGTTCATAGAATCGTTATGTCAGAGTGAACATATAAAGATAACCTTGTAAGCTTTCTTCAGGGCAAACAAGAAAGGATTCTTTCTTTTTATCGAGCAGTTTAAAAGTTATATGGAAAATAAGTATCTTTTAAGTCCATGACATTATGTAGTATTATTTATAAACATGTACCTATTCATGAATCCTAAGGTCAAAAATTATTCAATGTGTTTAGAACTAAATATTGAAAGCTATAATCTCGAATATTTAATTCATTTTAAAAACTAAAAACAGTACTTTTGTATTCATTCTTTATTGAGATGTAATGGACATATAACATTATGTTTTGGGTGTATGGAATAATGATTTGCTATTTGCATAGATTGTGAAATGATCACAATCAGTCTAGTTACTATCCAGGATTACATATAGTCACAGATATTTTTTTCTTGTAATGAGAACGTTTAAGATCTAGTTTCTTAGCAACTTTCAGATTCTTTGCATTTGTTTTTAAAAATGAGTTTGTTGGCTATGTTTTGACAATCTAAATAAAATAACATTTACACCATCTGGAGATATGTAAGAATCCATCTACCTTGAGAAATACAGTGAGGTTTATTTGGTCACTTAGCAACATTTTAATTTATTTATTATATTCGAGAAAGTCAAGCTTACTCTTCAACTAGAAATGCCTGTCTCCCCCCTTCCAATTGAAGAATATTTCGGTTGCTTTCCAATTTTGGCAGTTATACATAAAGCTAACTATAAACATTTGAGCACAGGTTTTGGTATGGACATAAGTTTTAGTTCATTTGTGTAAATACCTCAGTGTGATCGCTGGATTGTGTGACAGTAGTTTTATAAGAAACTGCCAGATTGTCTTCCGAAGTGGCTGTACCTTTCTGTGCTCCCACTGAAGAAAGAACGAGAGCTCCCGTTGCTCCGCATCCTTGCCAGCATTTAACGTCGTCACTTTCAGATTTGGCCGTGCTACCGTGTGTAGTAGCTTCTAGTTGTTTGAATTTGCATTTCCTTCATGAAATATGATGAGTATCTTTTCATATGCCTATTTGCCATCGTTTATCTTCTTTGGTGAGGTGTTTATTCATACCTTTTGCCCACTTTTTAATCAGGTTGTTTGTTTTCTTGTTGAGTTTTAAGAGTTCTTAATATATTTTGGATACAAATCCTTTATCAGATATGCATTTTGCAAGTGCTTTCTCCCAGTCTGTGGTTTGTCTTTTTATTCTCTTAACAGTATCTTTTGCAGAGCAGAAGGTTTTAATTTAAAATCCAACTTACAAATGTTTTCTTTCATAGAACATGCTTTTGGTTTTGTATCTAAAAACGTATAGTCATGCCATAGGTTTTCTTCTGTGTTATGATCTAGATGTTTCATAGTTTTGCATTTTACCTTTAGGTTTCTGATCCATTTTGAGTTAATTTTTATGAAAGGTAAGTGTCTAGATACACTTTTGGCACGTGGATATCCAGCTGTCATGGCATCATTTGTTGAAAAACCTGTTTTTGCTCCATTGAAGTGCCTTGATTCCTTTGTCAAAGATCAGTGGGTTACACTTGTGTGGATTTGTTTCTAGGCTCTCTCTTCTGTTACATTGATCTAGTTGTCTATTCTTTTGCACTCCTACACTGTCTTTAAGTTGGGTAGTGACAGTTCTCTGATTTTGTTCTTCTTCAATAGTGTGTTGGCTATTGTGAGTCTTTTGCTCTTTTGTATAAATTTTAGAATCAGGTTATCAATATTCACCAAACAGCCCTGGCTGGTTTTGCTCAGCGGTTAGAGCGTCGGCCTGTGGTCTCTAGAGTCCCAGGTTGATTCCTGCTAAGAACATGTACCTCGGTTGCAGTTTGCCCCCGGCCCTGGTTGGGGTCATGTGGGTGGCAGCCACTCGATGTGTCCCTTTCACGTTGATGTCTCTGTCTCTCTCTCTCTCTCTGTCTCTCTCTCTCTCTCTCTCTCTCCCCCTCCCTCCCTCCCTTCCTCCCTCCCTCCCTTCCTCCCTCCCACTCTATCTGAACAAAAAAAAAAAGGAAAATGTCCTCGGGTGAGGATAAAAAAAATATTCACCAAATAACTTACTAGGATTTTTATTTGAATCGCATCGAATCTATAGATCAACTTGGGAAGAACTGACAATATTGAATGTTGACAATATTGAATCTTCTTATCTATGTGCACAGAATATCTCTCCATTAATTTAGATTTTGATTTTTCTCATCAGTTTTGTAGTTTTCCTTATATAGATCTTGTGTATTTTTTAGATTTATATTTCTTTCTCTTTTTTGATGCTAAGGTAAATGGTGTTGTGTTTATTATTTGAAATTCTAATTGTTCTTTGCAAGTATATAGGAAAGTAATTGACTTTTGTACATTATCCTTGTACCCTGCAACCTTTTTATAATAACTTATTAGTTCCAGGAGTTTTTTGATGATTCTTTGGTATTTTATAGACAAGCATGCCATCTGTGAACAAAGACAGTTTTGTGTCTTTTTTCCCAGTCTGAATACCTTGTATTTCCTTTCTTACCTAATTGCATTA